CTGAGAGAATGCCGGAGAGCTGCGCCAGCGACGTTTCGAACTGATCAGAAATAGGTTAGGAACCCTTGCTCGGCCGTTTCACTTGATCCTCCGCGCGCATCCAGGTTGGTTTTGGGCTTGTTTAGTGTTGGGCCCAAAAAAGTTGTCTATTGAAGCCTGTTTAAATTCAAACAAAAGGGATGTAGCAAAATATACATGAGCTTTGATAAAGCCCAAACACTTAGGCCCATTAACTGGCCTTTAATGGAGTTTATATATTTATTATATTCATCACCTTTTGCGATAAATATTTTGCGAAATCATTTTCCTTTTTGGGATTGTTCCATTGTATTACAATTCAACACCCTTTGCGTTTCAATTTAAACATATAACAAAATTTTAAATGGTTGGTTAGTGACTTAGTGGTAATATCTGAAAAAGGGTTCTAAAATCAAAATGTTCTCCGTACCTTCTTTTCCTTTTGCTATAGATGCAGGTTTGGTCTTACATTTGTATGATTATAAGTTTCTAAGTAAAAAAATTTGTTATCCTATAGCTGATCTTTAAATAAATAAAAATCTGGAGTTTAGTTTTTTTTTTTTTTTGTTAATCAAAATTTACATAGTGGTTTGTACTAGTATCGACAAATGAATTTAAATAATGTATGTCTGTGAGTTATGAATCATAGCTTATGAAACCCAAATTTTTTTTGAAAAAGTTCTGTCAATATTCGCTGCTATTTTGTTAGAAATGGTTGTCTTTTATTTATTTATTTATTTTTATTTTTGTTGTCTTTTATTTATGACAGATATTATTAAAATGGTCATGGTCTGAAAGCTTGGACACTTATCTTCTATTCCGTTGGACCAGTTTCAGATGAAGCAGATCCATCCAGCTGCATCTTGGCTATATACATTGCCCCCCACATTTTAGTCGGTAAGCTGCATAAGTGTAACCGCTACAGTTTTGAAAATATTTCTAACTTAAAATTAAATGACATCCATATAACTTTCTCAAAAAGTTGTTTCAGCATATAGGGGCTATAATAAAACGTTGAAATTTTTTTGACATAAAAATATTTCTACTTACTCCCTCCATTTAAGGTTTTATCACACAAATTAAGAAAATCATTAAATTTTTTGCTTTATCCTCTATTAGTATATTTTATAAAAAAATTCATTGGCCGAAACAATAAAATAGTAGGGATAAAACTGGGATTTTCACCAAACATTTGCATCGAAAACCTAAAACGACAACTATTATGAAACAAAATTTTAACTCTAAAACTAGGGGTGGGCATTTAAACCGAACCGAACTAAACCGACCCAACCCAACCGAACTCAAACCGACCTAAACTGAACCCAAGTTTAGACTCAAACCATTCGGTTGAGTTTATTCTCAATCCAAATGGATCGGTTCGGTTCGGTTTTAAACCAAACCGAACCGATAACCCAATGTGTTTATTTAATTAATTATTTAATTATATTAATAATATTATAAATAACTAAATATGTATTTATTTTTACTTTTATAATTTGAATAAATGTAAAATAGATTTAATTATCTCTAAAACCTAACCCTAAAAAATTTAGGGTTCTCCTTCTAAAAAACTTACAACTTGAACTTGATATTTAATTACTTTATCAATTTCAATGTTCAAACTTCAAAAACAATGAATTTTTTTGTTTTGTTACATTAATTGATTTTTTTGAACCGAATTCAAACCGAACCGAAGTGAAACCAAACCGAACCAAATATAAACTGACCCAAACACAAACCGAACCAAACTAACTTCGGTTGAGTTTGGTTAGAGTTTTATGAAATCCATATAAACCGAACCGAACCCAAACCAAACCCGAAGTTAAACCGAAATGCCCACCCCTATCTAAAACGACAAGTAAAACGAAACGGAGGGAGTATTATTTTATACTCCCTCCGTTTCATAATATAAGGCGTTTTGAAAAAAGTTTTTTGTTTCACAATATAAGTCGTTTTCGAGTTTCGATGCAAATTATATATTATTTTAATATATTATGATTATTTATATTATGCAATATCTTTTATGATTGGTTGAATTTTTTAAAAGTAGATCTTCTTAATCAACGTGCTTTGACCTAAAACGATTTATATTATGAAACGGAGGGAGTAGTTGATAGTTGATACTAGTCAGTTAAAAACCTTTTATTTTACTATACTATTTTAATTTTTTCTCTAAATTCAATCTTTTTAGTTATTCACATTGATTACACTGGTTGACAATAATATAAACTCATTGATTACACTGACCAAACAAATTACACTGATTGCGCCAGAAACATAAACCAATCGGAACCTCATTAGTTTTTGGTATTCAGAAACTATCTTAAGAACTTTTTATGAGCTGGCATGACTAAGAAGGGTGCAACTTATTTTGCTTTAACTAAACTTCCAAAATAAATAAAAATTTTGCTTTAACTAAACTTCCAAAAAAAAAAAAAAAACTTTATTCTTCTTAAACTATTTAGTGCATTGCCCTCCTTTTCACAATTCTCCATCGTACCTATTATTTACATTGATAACAAATGAGTCTATGAATATATTCAAAAGCTACTAATTCCTATTATTCGAAGAAGCTATAGAAACTGGAAAAAAAAATCTACTTTTTCTTACTTTTGGTACACATGGATATTAGGATATATGTACTTACATGTTTGTTTCACATCAATAAACATTTAATATTGTAAAAAGTAATATTATATAATTAATGAATACAGTATGTTAGTGGTTGTTTGGTTATTTTGGATTAATGGACATTGACGTGGTATCACTGTATAGTGTCCATATTCGATAATGGAAACATATTCTTCTAATGATATTGTCTAGCATCGACATTTTTAGCATCCAACTAATTAAATACGAAAAAAATGAAATTTATTAATTTTACTACTCTTACATATTTCTGATAATGTATAAACACTAGATTTTAACCCGCGGTACACCGCGGGGCTATATTTTCTTAAAAAAATCAAAATGTAATTTGTTTGATAGATTATTTTGATTGTTAATTTTAGGATTTCACCCGTGGTATACTATCTTTTATAAATATCAACCCAAACCCGTCCCATCATATTACCCGTCCCGTGAAATTAAACATCATTTAGTTATTTTTCTTTTTAATAATACTTTTATTTAAAAGCTATATAATTCAAGTCAATTTAAAAATTTCTTTTAAATGGTTCCCATAAGATATATATACATATATATTAAATTTGTATAGAGTTGAAATAATATTAATATTACAAACTTTTTATATAATTTAAATATTATAAATATTTTTAAAAATATGCAATATATATTTTTTGTTATTGAATAAGAGGATATTATGTGTAAGAAATGTAGAAAATAAGAGTTTAATATTTTTACTATGGAGTCGCGAGAAAAATCTTTTATTTCTATACATGTTATTCGTTTATTAATAATAAAAGAAAAAAAATCATTTAAATTAGATATTAACTAAAATAAACGCACCATAATTACTTATTAAGTAACAACCAATAAATTTCACCAAAAAATAGGTAACAACCAATAAATTCTAAACGCAGTAATTAAAGAATGAGATATTAAAAAAAATATCAAATAAGATATAAGAATCTTAAAATAATTGAATATCTAAATAATTTAAGGGAGACTCACAAAAATGCCCCTTTTTCAATACCCCTTTTCAAAAATGCCCCCTTTGGATGTCCATTTTTAAAAATACCCCTTTTATGTACAAAATGACTAAATTACCCTTCTTTTAATAAAAGATATCATAAATATATAAGGAAATATAACAAAATTAGGTCCACAAAATACAAAATATTTTTTGGCGGGAAAAGTGATCCCCCAATTTTTCCCGCCAAAACACTTGTAAAAATTTGTAAAACCTTTAAAATACCTTGTAAAATTTTCCCGTAAAATTTTTCCCGCCAAAAAATTTTTTTTGCGGGAAAAGTGATTCCGCAATTTTTTTGGCGTTAAATTTTTGGCGGGAAAATTTTTCCCGCCAAAAATTTACAAGGTATTTTAAAGGTTTTTTACAAGGTATTTATAAGGTTTTACAATGTATTTTAAAAGGTTTTACAACGTATTTACAAGGTATTTATAAGATATTGAAAGATTTTACAAGCTATTTTATAAGAT